GATTCAAGGCCAAGGAAAGAATGAGGGGTTAAGAAGTTTTAGATTGAGGACCCTTGGATGACGACCCTTGGATGACGACCCTTGGATGACGACGATTGGATGACGACGATTGAATAAAGTGTGGCGTAAGGTGTGTGGCAGGCAGGTCAAGGCCTAAGCGCCGAATTGCTTCCCACATTCCGGAACAGGGAATTCAGTTACATGAGTGAATGAGTGAGTGAGTGAGGGTTCCTTGTGCAAGCGCGTTACGAAAGATAGACAATTGTAAAAAGACATGTTGAGTTTCAACAGACCTTTACCACAGGAGGGTCGAACATTACTACATGAGGGAGGGACACATTTTTCTTTGTACTAAGGAGGTGCACAGCTTCCCTAGGAAAGATCATATCATAACGGTTGTACGCCCCTCCATGCTTGCGTCAAAGTGCAACTAAAAATCAACCCCCTGCGGGCATGACGGGAGACGGAGCATTTCCCCCAGCCATTCGGGAGCCGTACGCGCTCAAGTCAGGCGCTGCGGAGCCAAGCGCTGTGGAGTCAAGCCTGTGGAGCCAAGCGCTGTGGAGTCAAGCGCTGTGGAGTCTTTTCCCGTAGGTGAGCCCGGCGAGGGTCCGGGGCTGACTGGCGAGGCGGTGGCCGAGGAGGGAAGTTGGGTCGTGTTGTTCGGTGGACACGACGACATTGCTTCCGTAAAGTTGGAGGCGGGCAAGGTGTTCCAATACAGGAGTGGGAAGTTCTGGCATGATGATATAATTGGCGCGCGGTTTGGCACACGCATTTATGACCGGAAGACGTGTCGGCAGAGTGCGGTGTTGCTCCGTCTAACGCCGGAGTTGCGTACGAATTGTTTGGCACATCGCACGCAGGTGGTCTATGCGCCAGATCTAGCGGTCGCCAGCATGTTGCTTGATTGCAACCACGGGCGCGTCATCGTTGAGAGCGGGACCGGCAGCGGGAGTGCTACGCTCAGTTTCGCGCGAAGCGTGGGACCCACGGGCCACGTACACACGTTCGAAAACAATAAGGCAAGAGCGCGACACGCAGTTCAGGAGTTCCAACAACTCGGGGTCCGCAATGTTTCCTGCTACGTTACGGACGTGTACCGCGACGGTTTCCTCCAAGCTGAAATACGGCCGCTGGAACCCGAGACATTGCCGGGCGTCGAACCCGCGTCGGCACCTATCAAGTCATGTAAGCAGCTCGGCGTCAAACCGCTCGGCCCGGGGTCGGCCGACGGCGTGTTTTTGGATCTCCCTTCACCATGGTTGGCGTTTGCGCACGCAGACCACGTGTTACGGCCGCACCGAAGGCTGGTTGTGTTCTCGCCGTGCCATGAACAGATTACGGAAATGGGTCGGGCATTGCGTGCCGCGGAATACCAAGACCTGGGCTGTATGGAGGTGATATTGAAGCCCTGGGGCGTTTTCACCGCGAGTGACGCGACGCGCAAGTTGGCACGAACCAAACAAGCGCAGCAGAGTAACTTCGACGAGGGCCGTTGTACAAAAGCAGCTACCGAGCTTGCCGTCGATCCCAAATCTGTGTTCGATATTTCGCCACACGTGTTCTACCAAATTGGCACTCGAGGACACACAGGCTACCTACTCGTCGGCACAAAACCCCCTACCGACGAACAAAACGTAGACTACACTATCCCTAACGCACCCTGCCGCTTCCGTCCGCACACACATCCAAAAAAGAAATAACATGGACGAACTCGACTGGCCCCAAGAACTACGCCAGAAATACACCACCCAACAAGTCCTAGCAACCTCGCCCGGAATACTCGTCACCCTGGTTGAACATAAAACCACCCGACAACGTTACGTAAGCACGAGTGGACCTTCGCGGATTGGTGCACTTGAAGGGCTTAATTGGACGGAGTGTGTGGACAAAGGGAATGGTGGACAAAGGGAGTGGACGATGTGTGCTGCAGGTCTTAAAAAGTTACCACAAGGAGAGTCTCAGAAGAAGGAGGGTCTTTTTTCCGGGCAGGGGCTTGGTCAGTACGCTGGTCTTTTATTCTTACTACTTGACTCACATTACTCAAGTCGATGAGGCTCTGCACTCAGGGGATAACGACCGTGACAGAAGGGATCACATTGTTCGGGTAGTGGACTGCGGTGAGACCACAGTGGAAGAGGGAAACAAAGACTTTGGATGCTACTGGGTCGTGTATGAGTATGCAGGAGACCCCACACACTTCACGAAAAGAGTAGACGGTTTAACCGCCGTATGTTGGACACTGCAAGTCGCACTGGCCTTACAATCTAGTATGGTTATATCACTCCCTCTTAACCCCACTTCCCTCTCGACCTTTATTTCCCTGTTTCTCAACCGTTCAGCGTTCATCCCCTTTTTAGTTCATCGCCACGGGTGGTGTCATAATGACGTGAAGCCGTCTAATATTTTGTTCGTTGATGACTCTCGCTGTGTGCTGTCTGACTTAGATATGCTCAACGATCGATTGGTTCCCGGCGGCACACCGCAATTTAGGTCTCCCGCCTACTTTTCCTTCCGGTTCATGCCGGAGGGCGGGGGTCGTAATCAAGAGAAGGAGCTTATGGCAGGACAGGAGGAAGACATTTACGCTTTGGGCATCTCTTTATATCTATGGTATTATGGTACCTTGCCGCACCCGGACCCAGCCAATCTGGACCTCGTTAGTACTTGGGATATTGTTGATGTCCTACGTAAAGAATTAGGCCTCGATGAACCACTTGACGGCCCCCAACCTGTCGAAGCTACGGATGGCCCCGTCAATAAACAACTGACGAC